TGCAACAAAGATCAGAGAATCAAACAACATCGGTCCATACGGGGCAGATGACCAATGTCCATAAATGTTGTCCTCGATCATCACCAAGACACTCTACATTTCATTTCAGTAAATAATTGAAGTGACTAGCCAATCTCAATGAATTTCTTTAAAAGTGAACTGGTCACCATTTTTACCCATGACTGTGTTCCGCGGGCTCACTGCGGCTTCTTTATTAGCCGCCCGGGCCACCCTGCTCCATGGGGATGATTACATACCTTGTAGAGGTGCAACGGTTCATCACTGATCCGTGATCCGTTCGGTTCAACGTCTTCGGTTCGGTACAGACGTGATCCGCGGTTTGATTTATGAAAAAAAAGTTGTGCGCACGTTGTTCAGTCCACACACAGCGCGGTCATTGCGAGCGGAGGAACGGAGATGCTTGAAAGCCCCGCGTCATTTAAATCCCCAGTATGAGAGCATTTTGGCTTCACTGTAACTACACTGATAATTAATATTCGACAAAACTGTCACGATGTGTAAGCACTGTGGCACAAGAAAGACATGAGTGAAAAAAGCGTCTCAACGACCACCTATTGCCGCGGCATTTAAGCAGCTCCTTTACGCACAGTCAGACCGGGCTAAAGTCAACTCTCCCGCGCATCCTCAGCTGCGCTCACGACTGACGCTTGGACGTCCCGCGGAACCTATAATAGATCCATGAGCGGAACCGCTCACTTCATCACCGCAGACTGGGAGATGAAAAGTCTGACGCTGAAGACACGCCCCCTCTACGACAGTCACACAGCTCAGGTACTGACACAAGCAGCGGAGGAATGGAAGACAAAGGCCCAGTACTAATATCCCAGTCACAACTGATAATGCCAAAAATTAAATAAATGCAGTGAATGAGGCTGGGCCCAGAATGGACCCCCTCCTTGGGAGAATCAGGAAGGTGGTGTAATATATGAGGGTAAATATCCTCATAAAGTACCTTCTTATGTTGCACTTTGTGTTGTTTTTCATTGATTGACTGCGGAACCTTCCGCAGTCAACCATTGGTTTTGTATTTCTTTATTCCGTCATTTTTTTTGACACGTTTCACAGCTTTCACATTTTCAACAATTTCCACAAGTTATACATCAAAACGTTCCACATGTTTGGGAGATTATTGCTATTACTTTTGGGACTTCAGCGATTTCCGGTTTTTCCGCAATCGGACAAAAATCTGCATTGAGAATTCTGCAATGCATTTTAATAGGCCCATGCATTTTAATAGGACTTCAGCTCTTTCAGACATTTCTACAGTTTCAATGATTCAACAGTTTCAAGGATTCAACAGTTTCAAGGATTCAACAGTTTCAAGGATTCAACAGTTTCAAGGATTTCAGCAGTTTCAAGATTTCAAGAGTTTCAAGGACTTCAACAGTTTCAAGGACTTCAGCAGTTTCAAGGACTTCAGCAGTTTCAAGGACTTCAGCAGTTTCAAGGACTTCAGTGTAATCATGCAACCTAATAGGGATTTTTCCATGTAAACCAGTATAATGCAACTTAATAGGGATTTTTCCATGTAAACCAGTATAATGCAACTTAATAGGGTTTTTTCATGTAAACCAGTATAATGCAACTTAATAGGGTTTTTTTTCATGTAAACCAGTATAATGCAACTTAATGGGGATTTTTCCATGTAAACCAGTATAATGCAACTTAATAGGGGTTTTTACATGTAAACCAGTATAATGCAACTTAATAGGGTTTTTTCCATGTAAACCAGTATAATGCAACTTAATAGGGATTTTTTCCATGTAAACCAGTATAATGCAACTTAATAGGGGTTTTTTCATGTAAACCAGTATAATGCAACTTAATGGGGATTTTTCCATGTAAACCAGTATAATGCAACTTAATAGGGGTTTTTACATGTAAACCAGTATAATGCAACTTAATAGGGTTTTTTCCATGTAAACCAGTATAATGCAACTTAATAGGGATTTTTCCATGTAAACCAGTATAATGCAACTTAATAGGGTTTTTTTCATGTAAACCAGTATAATGCCACTTAATAGGGTTTTTTCATGTAAACCAGTATAATGCAACTTAATGGGGATTTTTTCCATGTAAACCAGTATAATGCAACTTAATAGGGGTTTTTACATGTAAACCAGTATAATGCAACTTAATAGGGGTTTTTTACATGTAAACCAGTATAATGGAACTTAATAGGGGTTTTTACATGTAAACCAGTATAATGCAACTTAATAGGGATTTTTACATGTAAACCAGTATAATGCAACTTAATAGGGTTTTTTTCATGTAAACCAGTATAATGCAACTTAATGGGGATTTTTCCATGTAAACCAGTATAATGCAACTTAATAGGGTTTTTTACATGTAAACCAGTATAAAGGATAACAGTTTAAAGGATATCAGGAGCTTCAAATACTTCAGGAGTTTCAAAGATGTTTAAAGTATTTTAACAGTTTTTTTCAGCAAGGATTTTTCAGCTAAATTCCACATTAGATCTGTTTCGCAGTCAATCGCAATGGCTTCAGCCATTGCAACGGTTTCTAGTTGGTGTTGGAATTAGACTTCACCTTGGTCCTACTCTTTTCATTACCAAGATGCGATTGTTTTTTCATGCTTAATCACACCGCTCACTTTGCGTTTGTCCTCTCGTGCTCTTTCTACCTTCTCTTTTTTTTTTGCTCGTCGTATGCAGATGAAAGACGTTCATTACCGTGCATGCATTTGGATGGCACAGCATGGGGCCCATTCTTCTGCAGCTGGAATGGCGTTCTGCTTAAATTGGACCAGCTGGACATCTCCTTTTTCTCATTACTAATCATGAGCAGAGTGACCGCCCGCACCTTGGTCGGAGAGACTGCGCAGAACAATGTTGGGATATAGTCGCCTTCGCCGCAAGAGGATTTTTTAATGTGGTGCATCTTTTATCAGCGCCATCGATCTCTCTTTAGCCGCGTCCTTCACCTGCATCATTCAACCTTTTGCTTTTCGAGTATCCCATCCCTGATCTGCTGAATCATTTTTGGCTCTCTGGGACTGATCTTCAATCATTAAGTCCAATATACTTTTTTACAATAGTTTAGCTACAGTCTTTGTAGTTTTGACTTGTGTATTTTCATTTGAATCATTAATGATTCGGGTTTTCAGTCTTTTTGATTGTAAGGTCACCATTCCCTGTCGTATGTGGTTTGGACCAGTGTTGGAGAGAAGGAGGAATGTGACTATTTTGTCTCTCTGCGTGTGTTAAATCCAAAAATGTTCAGCAAAAGCAGTTTCTTTCATTTTAAGACATTTTCTACATATTACAGATTAACCATGAATATTTCTTTAGTGTAATAATATTAATGGCAATATCAGAGCTAATATTCAAACAGATCAACAAGTACAAATCAAACCTTTTGTGAACCTAAACCTGAAAATGTTTAAAACTAGAGTTATTCTTAATCAAAAGTACAATGCCATAATATTTTTGTTTTTTACCATTTATAGACATACTATCCAATCGGAAAGCAGAATGAGGATCTCATTTTGGTTGCCAGTTTCTATGTTAAGATACAGATTCACTTACTCAAATGGGAAGCTTGAGAAGGCAGTTTTACCTGCTTGAATGGCCGTAAGACCCCATAATCCTGTATGAACCCAGACTAGCCAGTCCGTGCTTCCACCCCCACAGCCCCTGGTGCTTTTAAATTGCCCATCACTGGTTTATTTTTAGGCTTAAAGATCGTAATAATGTATGGGATATGATTATAGTCAGCAATAGAATAAGATTTGTCCCTGCATATGATGTATGAGCAGAAAGGAAATGGCTCTCTGACGAAGATAAATATAGAGGGATTTTAAAGGTAGACCATAAAATAAAATTCTTTAATGTCCAGTGATTGATTTCTTTTGCTAAAAAGTGTCGACACAGATGAACAATATTAATGGAATGTTCCACAGCAGCCTCTATGAATTATAGCAATGTAAGGATGGCTATGGTTTAAAATTTTACCGCTGGTGTACGTGAATGTCAACATGGGAAATCAGAAAGTGTTTCTGTCAATGTTACTTCTTCCTTTTAGGCACCAAACTAACAGACATGGGTGGCCCAGCAAGAATGTCCTGTGTTCGATTCCACCAGACATGTCCTTTCTGTGTTTGGTTTGGTTTTAGGTTTCCTTCTGGTGCTTTGGTTTCTCCTACCACTAAAACATGCACAATATGGCCCCATAACACTCTCCCCAACCCCACATGCCCGGCCCCTGTCTGGGAAAGGGCTCCCGTGATTCGGAAATCTTTGTGGATCCAGGACACTGGCAACAAGCCTTTCCCTATGTTTTTCTGACATATTTTTCTTTTTATATATTTTTGTTATTGACTATCTCTTTTACTCCTTATGCTATCCTCAGGTCAAAGAAAAATACTCTAATACTCCGATAAGCCAGGGTCTTGAATGGTCTAAATGACCCAGGGCTGGTCAAGTTAGCAATAATCATCAAACACAAATATTTATGGTATTTATTTTAATCATTGTGGCAGATCAGTTTGCCCCAAGGATAGCATAAGGGATGAAGTTTGAGGGCTCTTTCCATTTGTCCAAAAAATGCTGTGAACCTTAGAAGTAAATCTTATGATGGATGAAATACTGTAACTCATTAGATTCTATCAGCATGCTCAACCAGTCTGGAGAGAAAAACACAAGTCTACACAAATAAAACCTGCCACTTCAGCTTTGGCATTAGAAAACGTAGTAATTACTCGTACAGTGCAACACCTCATAACCAGCTTGATTTGTCAGTTGCACAAATCCCATAAGAACAGTATATTACAGCTTTAATTTAGATGACTAAGCGGATCGTTTCAAAGTTCAGTTTGGGTCTCTAACTGAGGATTCAGCAAAAATACTTACCAAGTGTTTAGTTTACTAAAGGCAAATATATTCTCTAAAAAAGTGTACAGTAATTAATTGTGGATTTCTCTTGCTGTGATGATATCCTTGACTGGGCGTGTGTCAGATTTGGACGTCCCGGGGTGGAGTGTTATTGCCAGCATGAGAGCGGCGCCGCAGTCATCCAACTGCAGTTTCTCATCAATGAGGTGGGTCCAAACAACTGCATCAGCAAAACTCTGCAAAACACACAGGACGAGAGGGGGCCTTTAACGCACAGCCCAAAATATCACCGCCAAGGAACGATAGGGAGTACATGCAATGGTTTAAATGTGTAGCTGCGTTCTTAGAATACATGCATTTTGTTGATGTTGATAGACATGCATAATGGTTAATATGTATGTAATAACATTTCTGTTTTTAAAGTTTGTTATGCGGTTAGTGATGGAATCTAGTTTGACATAGATGGAAACGGTACTTGCTGGACTATTACGTGCACCTGTATATAACTTATGTGCAGCTGTATAATAGAAACCTGCTATGTTATCAGTAAAGCACACATGATAGAGTGCAGGAAGGTATTGAGACACAGCTCTAACATTATAAAAACACATAGGCCTCATTGCTATATAGAGTGAAATAAGTAGTGGCTTAAAGTCCAGAAAGTACTGGACTGATGCTTTTAAATGTGAGATGCAGCTTGTGCTTTGGCCTGCATTAGGAAACATGTTCTCTTTTAATGAAAGGGTAGACAAGATTAATCTTGATAAACTGTACTCTGCTTGGAAATGTATTGCATTCGATCTGCATGGTACACTTTAACTTGACCTTGACACATCACACCTACAACAAGCAACACTAACTGAAATATTTGGCACAGGTGAAATTATATGTAGAATAAAGGACCATAAAAAACATTTGTAACACATCACATGCTATAAACCTGTTTTGTACATCCTGATTGGTGACACAAGCACAACTTGGGGAAAAAACATGGGACAAATCTGAATGCTCCCCAGCCCTAGACTTGAAGCCTGTCCACGTGTGGCAGTCTGCTCCTGCCTATATGACTCAGCGGCTGCACAGACCCTCAGGGAGCTGGGATGGTTTTAGACCCTCCTACACACTCACACAATGTGCACATATGTCGTCCTTCTGAATCATCATCACGGTTACCTGGGAGAGAGCAATCAACTGTTTCCAGGGAATGATGTCTGACTCACTTCGTCATGTCGGACAAGAAAATCCAGACAAAATGTCAATTATCCATATGGATTGTGTAAATGTCAGTGATTGGTTTGCTGCTGCAGGGGGCGCTGGTGAGTGCGTTGGCGGATGACACCGTTCACTTGTGGAACCTGAGGCAGAAGAGACCGGCCGTCCTGCATTCGCTCAAGTTCAACAGAGAGAGGTGAGGACACCAGTGACTTCGTGCATGGTCCGGCAGTGTGACACTTTGTTATAGTAAGATACATTTTACAAAAAGGTAATAGTGCTCTCTTTAGCATTGTGGATCCATTATAAAGACCTGCTTTAGCACATGTCTGTTCGCCTGAATAATCACTAAATGTCCATATACAGTACATACAGAGACACCAGCCTTTGACCGCCACAGCTGACCGTTTGTGCTCGAGGCGAATGTGGCTGCATACTCTCACCACTGAAGAGAAACAATATAGCGGATTGACAGCTGTTATGATTACATTTATAAATCCTTCCAGATGTGGCCAATCCTGAGGCACAATAATATCTGAAGGCTGTGTGTGCAGTCTATTCTATACGGTCAATAGGTCTCAATAAAGCATTGGTTCCATATATTGTCTGGATACTCTGGAGTTTGTTTGTGGTTTATTGACAAGCAAGAAGTTATTTACATCATGATTTCTTACTAAATTTTAATTGTGCATTCACGCAGTCTATGGGAGTTGCTGAACTGTGAGATACAGGCCAGTCCTTTGTCAGGTCTTTAAGCGATTAACATTTGGGTCAGTCCAAGCGAGAGAGCTTTCAGTGGGACGCAGGTGTGAACTCCGGAACACTCCTGCAGGTCCCTTCACACCAATCTCATCCATTCATAACTTAGTTCTTACTATGTAGTATTAAATGTACACATACTTGGATGTTTTTTGGGCAGTATTTTTTTTGTATTTTACACAACAGTATCAAAGCACATGTTATATTGTTTGTCTCGAACTGCTACATATTTTGTTTCATTGTTTTCAGACGATGGAACATTGACATTTTCCTTACTCAGTACATCACCAGAGAGCCGTAGGCCACAGGGTTTCCATTTCTCTTCAACTAATTGAAAACAGATATATAAACTCCCCCTAGAGTTATCAATCAACAATATTTATTTCGACTTCAAGGCTGTAGCCATGTCAAGGATTTTTTCTTGTGGTTTGTTGGCCACTGATAGTCGTAGCCAAATTCCTGCCGATGCCCCATTGTATATCACTTTTACCTCTTCTGATACCAATTTCTAAGAATATTTTCATATCCTATGATGAGACCTTTCCTTTTTGACAGAGCATAATTCTTCTCAAGGGCAGCCCCACATCAGGTTTCCTAAATGACAAAAAAATTGTTTCCATGCTCTGAGAAAATTGTGACGAACAGAGAACTGTAGAGGACTTTTGAAAAACCTAAAAGCCCAGGCCCATTTAAATGCGTTATTTCACCTTTAACCTGATACATATTGTTTTTGCCTTTTTGAAAGTAAAAGATTTGTCTTGATTTGTTCCGACATTGTTTCTTCGACAAAAGCATGTCTGAAGTTATCTTTCACTTGGAGTGAAAGATAGGAGTATCAGTAATATTCTGCCATAACTATAGCCCATCCGCCTCACAGAGCGCTCAGAGTTGAATCAGAATTTCCTCCATGTTTCCACAGATTCTTGGTAAACTTTGAGGTATAATTGCGAACAAACAAAAAGCTTTATTTGGCTTTCTCTGTGACATCAGAAGAACATTATACATAGATGTCTGTATCCTGATCGGGAGGAAACCGGAGCATTCATGAAATGCCAGAGTAAAGATACTAACGATCATGTTTCAGCACCATAAACATAAACATTATAAAGGTGTCTCTTAAAAGGCTATGTAAATATATCATGCAGACCTAACACCAGAGCCTCAGTCAGTGGGGACTGTCTGGTTCAGAACATCTTTTGGACAGTCCGCCAGACTGTGGAACGCTCTTCCCCCTGACCTAAACTGTGGATAAAAGTTGTTTGCACGTTAATTGAATTGTACATTTGATTAATTGTAAATTTGTCCATTTGAATTGGGGTTGTTGTCCACAAAACCCTCCTATGGACAAGTGTTGAAAATAGCATGGTCTTTCTATAACACTAAAGGCAGTGCATCTGGTCTGTCCAATGTTGTATCCATAAAAAAAAAAAAACGACTACAAAAAAAGATGCAGATTTTAGACTGAAAGAGACCATTTGATAAGAGACAAGAGACTAATGGGGTCCTAATATTAGCCATATATTTACATAAACATGAGAACCCATACCATTACAAGGGCCAGATGATGACACGCGTTACCTATATCCTGTTTGTGTCAGCGGCAGTTTTTGGGGACTTCACCGCGGACTCACCTCACCTCGAGAAGTCACTGCTCACTGTCTCCCCCAATCACAGTGCCTGCAATGACCCATCACAGCCAATCATATCATAGCGCTGCATTCTGCCGCCGTCCCAAACGTCGAACGGGATAAACATCATGTTGCGTTGTGCGGGATGGGCCGGACATGACAGACAGGTGGCCCACAGCTGCCTCTGGGGCGCCTTGTGTTCCCAAAGAGATGTTTGACCATCTTTGACATTTAAACAAGCGTTGCATCTGAGGCATCGCGGTACTCCCAGACCCTGTGACACAGAGCCACTGCAAAGTCACTCAAGACTCAGGGAAAGAACAAACGCTGCGAGGAGAAAGAGTTTGCTCCAGACAGAGTGGTGGAAAAGTGGAAATGAGTGACACAGCAGAATGTGTCTTTAAGTGTCCTTTCTGTGCTCTGGCTGCGGCCACAGATCAGCTGCTGTCCAAAGTTCAAGGAATTAGGCCTGCTCGATTCATCGCAATCGGAGTCAGAATGATGTTGACGCGAAAATATGGAAAAGTTTAGAAACAACTGGATATAATTACATGAAATCTCTGCTTAGTGAACATCACAGGTCTTGCGTTTCTATTTGATTCTTTTTTATTTTCTTATAGCCCCAAAGCACAACAATTACAATTTATGTTTAATCGATTCGCCAACACAGATCAGAGAATCAAACTGTTCAAACACAGGAAAGGCAATGATATAAAAAGAGTCCTTAAATGTCTAATGTTGAGTGTCCTGGATCATCATCACTGTGCTTAGACCCTCCAGCATTGGCAAAACTCTAAAAACCCAGTGGGAGAAAATGAGAAACCTCAGGGATTGAGGGAGGGCTATAAATCCAGGACTCTGGTCGTAGAATGAGGACTGAGGCAGGTCGCAGAGGTTGGTGGTTTGAGCCCCCCCAAGGACGCCACTTTGTATCATTCATTCCCTTTAGGACCACTAGGCCCAAAGAAACAATTCTCTGCCGACTGAGCCCCGTAGCACTCGCAACTCTTTTCTGTAATAGTCCCACTTGGGGATGAATACAGGATCTCTTCATCTTAATCACCTTTAAAGGAATAGTTTGCATATGTAGATAAAGAATGCCCACAATGTAGGAGAAAGACTTTTTTATGGTTACTATAGCGTACAGTTGGGGGGATTTACAGCCTTAAAACTTAGCTGCTACTTTTTGGGGGTTATTTTTTAGAACAAAACTCATAAAAAAGCGACTTTATTTTATAATACTAGACACAGTGGAGAGGAAAAACAATGTTTTTTATTTAAATTGGGACTGTGCACATCACCATTTCCCATTAGCCATTCCGTTGGCCATTAGTATAGTTTTCATTTTACATCTTTGTAATCTAAAATCTGAAAGACATGCACATGTCTTGCACCATCTCTCTGCAGTACATCGCCTTTGAAACGTTCCTAATGACTGCTGAACGCTATTTCAGCTGTCATTGTAAAACAAGACATTTCCAGAATATTTTTCCCAGTCCCATTGGCAAGCTGATGCCACTTCCTTGAATGTCAAATATGAGATCATCAATGCTGTATTGTTGAGAAAAAATTATTATTATTTTTTTTTTTTATTTGTTTTTTTTTTTTTGTTGAGACAAAATTATTAATAAAACATAGAATGGAGTTGGGCTTAGTAGAGGGGGGAACACGGGAACCGGCATAGTCCTGGGGGAGCACAGTAGAACCTTCTGAAGGGAAACAAACTACAGAAATGGTGTTGAATGGACTTTTATGAATGTTGTAAGCCTTCAATTTCAAATTATTATGAATGGAAAAGACTCCAGCCCCCAAAAGGAGGCTGAAGCATGGTTTCTCTCGTACAGAGTTGGTCTCTAAGGAAACATGGCACATATTTAAGGTTGTCTTCACACAGGCTTCTTTTTGCTCCTAATTTGAGTCCAAGTATTTACATTGTTTGGCTCTGGTCTTTACCTTAATTAATTTTAGGTATAAATCCTAATTTTGATGTGGCGATTGTGCAAATAGTGTTGTACCTCCTAATGTTCATTTATCGCTTACCATTTTTTCACTTGAGTTGCAAATGGAGTACTTTTACAAATGTTCATATAACTGATAATAATCTACGACAGTTTTTCTCCCGAGTGAGCAGTTCTCTGAGCCGCATACATCAGTGTCTGCTTTTTCTCCTCAGGGCTGTTCTCTTATACCCATTATCAAACAGCAAAAGTCAATCTCCTTGTTCCATATCATTACATGCAAGCTATTCTTTCCATCAGATTGTCTTTTGACTTGAATAAATTCCGTCCGACGTCTGCAGCATGTAGGGGACTGTGGCTGACATGACATTGTGAGGCTATTACACATTGTCAGTCAGCGCTACATGTTAACCCTGTGACACACTGGCCACTTCCATGTCAGCACCAATGACGGCTCAGCAGCTGGCCTCCTGGTGACCTCGTCAGTACTTGATATGGATTCCATGTGCCGGGACTGGGGCAGGTCCTAGGGGCTGGAATTTAATGAAATAAATCTATTGTCAATATATTTTCACTGTAATATTTGGAGAGTGAGATTCTATAAAGATGCATGCCTTCTGAGTAAAGAGCGTTATATTAATGTGTGTGCTTTCACTAGATAGATATGTACTTTATTGTCAAACACAAGGGTCTGAAAATTTGTTTTGCACGGTTTAGCGGCTCAGTTCGACATCAAATGTAAACCCATACATATACAGAATATTTAACAAAGGCACATTTGTGATGACAAATCTGTTTTGTGACTTCCTGTTAGTCTCTAAGGGCAATAAAATATATTTCTGATTTAAAAT